CTTCCTCCCGCTGTGCTCTCGTCTAAACTAATTGCACAGCTCCCAGTGTCTGGAGGAAAGCCACGGATCGATCCGTCGCTGTTGAAATGTTAATGCTAATCGTATAACCGCTCCGCCAGCGCCTCGCACTTCAGTGGCAGCGCCAATTAATCTCAGGTAACGCAGCACATGACCTTCGGGGCTCAGCGCCGGGGCAGCAGCCAAGCGATGCTTATGTAATTACACCATGAAGTGTGTAATCACCTGCCCTCGTCCCCCAGGCCTCACAATTAGCTGAGGCCTCAGTCGGTCGGCGGGGCTGCCAAGCCGCCGGGCTGCCACTCCGGACACAGCCAGCCGGCTGGCCGAGCGGGATGAGGGACGGACCATTAGAGGCCGGCGATGGGGGCCGGGAAGCGCAGGAGGGGGGGCGCACATCCCAATTAGCTGTAATCATGGGGAGACGCGCCTGGCAGACGCGCCTGCTTCGTTTTATAAGAAGCAATTTAGGAAATCAAGTGGCGTTTAACCATTCTGTGGCCGAGGGGGCCGCCTGCCCTTTCTCCGACCTGTCCCCGCGGACTTTGTGCCTGTCAGACTCTGAGTGGGAGGAAGCAGGCATTCCGAGAGAGGAAGAGAAAGAGGCGTCTCCCAGCAGACCTGGTGCGCCCCCCCCCCAATTGCCTTCTTCCATTCCTGCCTCCTCGGGAACCACTTTCCCTTCTCTTTTTTTTTGTCACCTGAACCTTATTATTCTAGGACAGCAGGGCTGGAAGGGACTCCACGGATCATCCAGTCCAGCTCTTGTCCAGGAGGCCCAGCGGGGGAATTCGAACTCCTTCCAGATCCCAAGGGACTGGCCTCCCGCCTCCGCCTCCAGCCCCTCCCCTCAAGGCCTTATCCCTCCGCCCAACCTCGCTCGGCTCACGAGGTCTTCCTAGCATCTCTGTGGGGAGGGTCAAAGCGTCCTCTCCACAGGTGTTCGGGTCTCTTGCCAGACCCAGATGGACTGCAGCCCCTGCAAGGCCTCCCACTGGCACAGCTTTGGGGGCTGGAGGCCTCTCTGGGAGCTGAAATTCAGCACCACCGATGTGGGAGAACTTCCAGCTGGGAACCTTTGGGCGCTCCCGACGGCCTTTGATGCACCCGTCGTGTCTGGGTGTGGAAGCTCAGCCGGGCCAGGCTCGGTCAGTACTTGGAGGGGAGACCCACAGAGGGCCAGATAAGGGCCAGGAAAGGATTCTGAAGCCTTCAACGAGGGGTTCCCCACCTTGGGTCACCCAGGCTTTCTTGGACGGCCACTCCCAGAAACCCCAGCCAGCACAGCAGATGGTGGAGGCTTCTGGGAGTTCGAGTCCAAGAACATCTGGGAACCCAAGGTTGGGAGCGGCTGCCTTAGAGAACTGCTAATCCCAGGCTAGGGAGACCAGCGGTCGGAAGAATCGTTTCCTCAGTTCCTAACACATCTGGAGGTTGGGAAGGGAGCGACCCCAATGGCTTTCAAGTGGCGCTCCAGAAACCCCAACGTTTTCTTGGAAAGGTGGACCAGGGTGATTTCTTGACCAGCTCAATGATCATTTCGCCTGACAGTTCAGAAGACCGCCTTCTCATAGAGGAAGTCGTTTCCTAAGAACCTTCCCGGTTTGTTGTACACCATGAAGACTACGGCCGGCACACGGGGCTGACCAACGGGGCCCGCTCTAGGACGCGACCCGGAATTCTTTCCAACAAAGAGGTTAATGCGTCTCTTCTACAGTGAGAAAGCCTATATTCCCGTGGAAGTGGAATATTTAAATCTGGAGAAGGTGGGGATGGGGAGAAGGGTTGTGTATGCCTCTACAAGCCCACCCAAACAACAGGTCGAGTCAAGGCTGGCTTGCCTGCCATTCATTGACTGGGGGCGGGGACTGGGCTGGAATGAAACAGGCACCTAGCTAGGAACACTCTTCTCCAGCATCTTCCTGGTATGGTTGAGCCTCAGCTGCTCCCCCCCCCCACACACACACATATGGACTTTTTGGCTCCAGACGCCCATGTACAACAGAGTCTGTTTTCTCTCCTTTTGAGGGGACACTGATTTGCTGCGGCTCCTCCAGGGCCTGGTGGTTGTGCAAGTGAAGAGAAGACAGAGAAGGGGAGAAAACAGTTGCCACAGAGGCTCTGGAAGGTTATGGTCTGGTTGAGGAGGGAAGGCTATATTGCTCGCTCTCTCTCTCTCTCTTTCTAGCTGCTAAAGTTTTTGGAAATATTAGTGGGGAAAGAAACCAAGGTGGGTGAGGGCGAAAAGATGCCAAAGAGACTGCAAGAAGGATGTTAAACAGCACACACCTCTAAGCTTAGAGCAAGGACTGCAGCAAAACAGGGTAGAACTGCTAGCATAACATTCAGCTTGATGAAAACACCAGCTTTCTCTTTACTAAAGAAGGAAAAAGATGAGCAAGTTCCTAGCCCTTAAGGTGGAGAAAAGGTCCCTGGAAGCCTACAGACCAATCCTTGCTGAAGGGCTCGGTCAAGTCACGTTTGCGGGGGGGGGGGGGCATAGGTTCCAAGCAGGCCTGCTGTTGTGCTCTTTTAATGTTCATCATCCTTGCCAAAAACTTTTGGGAGGGGGACCATGCCAGGTTGCCAGCATGTCAGGCTAGATAAAAGCGGAAAGGCAGATTTTCCCCATCTGCATAATTTATGTAGGGACTTGGAACACAGCTTGCGTTCTTGGTGCAGAATTTAAACCAGGCAAAGATTCAGACCACTGACCCAGTGCTGGCTTTAGAGCACGGGAGCAAAGTCCTGCTATGGTTGTAACTTGTTTTTATGATGGCAAAAGGAAGGGAATGGTGAGGCTTGGAATCACAGACGCGGAACGGACCTTGGAGGTCCTCAACCCCATATTAAAGGCATAATGGGGCCACGGGGAATGGAACCCCAGGCTCCTGGATAGAGAAGCCTCTTGTCTACGCCTCCTGAAAAGGAGAGGCCAGTATCTGTCCAGATTGTTATTAAACAAAACTTAACAATCTTCCCATAACGTTTAACCAAAATCTGCTTCCTGACCCCTTTTTCTTCGGCTCCCTTCCGGTCCTGCCCCCTAACCCAGCAAGACAAATCTCAGTGGCTAAGATTGTTATTAAACAAAACTTAACAATCTTCCCATAACGTTTAACCAAAATCTGCTTCCTGACCCCTTTTTCTTCGGCTCCCTTCCGGTCCTGCCCCCTAACCCCCTAAACGCCTCTGGGTTTGTCAGCCCAGAGAGAACTGGGTGAGAGAACTGGGTGAGCGCAGCCAAGGACAATTAACACGTCGGTGCTGAGGAAACCCACAGGCTTAAGTTGGCAAGGTTATTGAGGATAGAACATTTTGGGGATTGCTCATTCATAGGGTCGCCCGCCATAAGTTGGTAGTGGGCATGATGGCCCCCCACCACGGAAACAAAGGGGCAGGTGGCGAAAGCACTGGGGGGGGGATTGGTCTGTCCGTGGACTCCCCAGAGGTACACAACGCATCCACCTATGGGGCTTGTGTGCAAAAGGGGATTTTAACAGCGAGTTGTTAAATTTGGTATGTCCTTTAAGAGGAGACAAATGGTTCACAAGGCTTTAAAAGTATTGACTTTTCCTTAACAATAAGCGCTAATGGCCTTCAAATAATCAATACTTTAAGTCATTACAGGGTTACACATTATACTGTTAAAGCCGTGCATTGCATTTTTAACCCCTTTCTCCTGCCTTCCACAGTGGTGAAGACTTGCTACCTAAAATCATTTTGGCCAGCTCTACGGCAGCAGGAATGAACCCTCCACCATGCAAAGGAGGCGGGCCTTCTACCAGGCCAAGATCTGGCCCCCTGCCTGTCCCACTTCCCCAGGCATTCCCCAAACCTTGTCAAGCAGCTCCCCAAACTGGCTTGGGGATCCCAGGGTTAATACTCCAGTCCTGCTGGGTTGACCCAACCCCAGCACGCCGAGGAAAGCCACTCGGCCCTTCAAAAATACCCAGTTCCCAGCTCTTGGTGGGTAGCTGTCCTTGGCCGTCTTGTGCCCACAAACGCCAGCCAGTGGGAAGGAGGAGGCTTCAGCCACTCCCTTCTTCCTTACACACAGGGCTGCCTTTTGCAAATCAGCCCGGCTTGCCTGCGGGGCCTCTCCTTCCCCCCGCCCCCCCGCTTGCCTCCTCTCTCTCTCTGCCTCCAGCTAAGGGCTAAATTCTACAGTGGCTAATTATTCTTGCCCTCGCCCACCCGCTGCTGCCCGCCACAGCTGCAGCCTCTGTGAACTGACTGAATCCCTTCGGGGATCCCCAAACAGGAAACTGAAATGGAATTTTAGCACCACGCCAAGCTGCTTCCATGGCCCCTCTTCCCCCTCCACACACACACATGTATTACTGCCTTGTTCTCGGGAGAGGCTGCCACGGCCATTAATCCACCTGCAGTTTGGCCTGTTTAATCCAAAGCATCTTGCTTTTCTTCTCCTCCTGTTCCTCTGCCATGCTGCGGTCTCCCCTCTTCCATCGCCCGGTCCCTTTGGGCCACCCCCCCCAGCCCTGCCACGCACCGCCTCCCTGTCTTTCAAGCTTCCAATGCACCTCTCAGAGGTCCAGCCACACACCAGGCAGCTTGCCTTGACCCCAAAAAGGCAGCAAGAGGGCCGTAACAGCCAGTTAAAAAGCAGAAGGCTAAAGGCCAAGGGGTAGCAGAGAGAGAGAGAGAGAGAGAGAGAGAGAGAGAGAGAGAGAGAGGTTAACCCTCAAAGGGGTCTCTCCTCTTCCGTGCCTCTCCAGCTTGTCCTTTTCCCAGACTCTCATCTGGCCAGCACAGAAGTCGAGCAACTCACACAGAGCTCCTCCTCAAGAGGAAGCAATCCTCAAATGGATCCAGAACCTGGCCCGAAAGCTCATGAAGCGGCGACAGGGGACCTGCTGTGTGGGCGCAGACGTAGACACAGGCAGCTGCTGCGTAGGGTGGGTGGGTGGAAGAAAGACAGGCTGCAAATCAGAACCTGGCCCCTTTGGGGAGGCCCAAGGATGGATTTTTGTTTCTTCATTTATTTCTTGCTCCAGGATCCTGCCTGCAGGCTGTGTGGACCACCAGGGGAGACCGAAGAGGGAAGGGCCAGGAAGCTACCTGGACCCTGGGGATCCCCCGTGGGTGCCCGGGGCGGCCCCTCCACTGTTCAAGGGAAGAGCAGGCCCATCTTTTCACAGCGTAGCCGGAGAGGGACCCCCTCCTGTTTGGACAGGGCCTGTTTTAAGGGTGCCCCGGAGGTGGCATCTGCCATTCCTTACCCCCTGGGTGAACCCTGCGGAAGGCACCACCATCCCTCCCTCGCTGCGCTGCCCCTGTGCCTTGATACCACCCACCCACCCCCGGCCATGTCACCCTTTCTCCTGGCCTGGAGTCTTGGTGCTTCCGGGCTGGGAAGTGAGGGGTCAGCCTCGCTCTGGACTTCACGTATCTTTCTGGGGTGGGTTTGGTCTACCAAGCTCCCGTTCCAGGATGGGGGGAAGCAGCAACGCAGCACTTTTTCTGGGTGTTACGACAGGGTGAGAACCACCTCTGCTCAAAATGCCTGCTCAGGAGCTGCCAGCGAAGTCAGCCATCTGGAACAGCCCACCTCTTCCGTGGGGGGGGCACCCGACGACCCACAACGCATCCGTCAGCAAGGATTGGTCCTAGTAAGCAGTGTGGCAGCAATAAAGGATGTTTCCCAAGAACCACTCAAAAGAAGCCACATATTTAGCCCACTGCAATAATTTATTGTAGTTTTTAACGGGGGATCAATAACTGCACTTAATATATCCAGCAAGGACTGTAACTAGCAGCCGTGCTCCACCAAAGCCACGTTCCGGTCCAGCCGCCTCGCTGCTCTCCAGGACGCCACACAGAGTCTGCAAGAGGTTTCCCGGCCGATGGGCTGAGCCAAAAAAAAAAAAAAAAAAAAACCCCAAGCAAAAAACCGCCAGCCGCATTCCTGACACAGAGATCTGTCTGCAGGAGGCTCTGGGGCAGAAGGAGGTTAGGAGGCAGGTCAGTGGGAGTACATCACTGCCTTGCTCGCTCGCTCTCTTTTACACACGCACAAACATCCTTTCCAGGAGATTTACGCCAGGCCCACCCTTAAAACTATCAAAAAGACCCTTAAACTACATTTTAATGGTCTGGTGACCCTGAGCTGAGAAAAGTTTGGTTTTTTTGTCACCTACCATGATGTGAGGGGAGGTTCTGGAAACTCCGATTTTTTTTCCAAGCAGCCCACACACACACATACCCCTGCACCCCTGGGGGGACAGCTGCTTTTGCTTCTTTTCTGCCACACGTCTGGAGGGAGGGAGGTGTGGTAGAGTGGGGGGGGGGAGAATCCCTAAGTCCTATAGTTTAGGGGGAGAGACCCCCACCCAGATATCCTGGGGAGTCAAAGTACCTCTCCGGGAAGTGCGAGTCCCGATGCTGGGGAAGCCCCTGCTTCCTGCGCTGGCTGGAGGAATTGCTGGCTGAGGGGAGGTGGGCTTCCATGCTGCCGGGGTTGCGCGTCGCTGCGGCCACAGCCACCTCTTGCCTTGCTCGGAGGAGATCTGCAGAGGAAGGACAAAACCTCATGTAAGTTCTTGGGGCAACGCAAGGGGACCCCTGCGGGAATCCACCCAAAATGGGATGGCCTCCCCCCCAAGGTGGCCCCCGGTGCCCCTTTCCTAACATGCAACAAGAGTGCCTCGGAGCCTAAGAAAAAAGAACCTCCTTGCAATCGGGAACCATACAGCCGGCGGGCATAAGGATCAGAGTGTTCACACGAGGAACCAGAAGAACCGGGTTCAAATCCCTGACTTGGCCGTGAAACTTGCCTGAAGCTGGCCACCGTTCTGCAGCCTGACAGGGCTTGCAATAACCCACTAAGAAGCAACTCTGGAGCCAGGTGCAAAGTCTTGCTGAGGATGCTACAGCCTGACAAGAGTTTGGGCTTACTCCACCTGTCTCACCCTCCAAGGGAAAACCGGGGGGGGGGGGGGGAATGACGGACCTGACCTTTTCAGACCTAGAGACCAAACCAGCTACAGCTGCAGGTCTACACATAAATGCCCAGCCATCTGAGATGCTTGGACCAATTCCCCAACGCTGCTCAGCCACTCTGTTTTGACAAAGCTTATCAAAATGATCCATGAAAAAAAAACCAAACCCTCTTCTCTCGCCTTCAACCCTGGGTCATGCAGAAATCAAATCTGGGTGGACCAGAGAGCAGAGGCAGACAAACCTGGTCACCATCCATTTCAATCTCAAGGCCCCGAAATGTGGCCAGTTAGTGTTACTGAAGACAGCAACTTCTTCCTTCCTTGTTATCCAGATGTTAACTAAAACAGTTACTTTGTTTGAAAACAGCATCCGAGGGCTTCCCAGCCTCCCCCCCCCGCCTCCTCGGTCCAAAAACACATGCCAAAAATGAGGCCAACACACAGACACACAGAGAGTAACTCTAAAAGTAAGATGAAACACTTGCGTTGAAAAAGGAGTGGCATTATCCCTCATTACATCATGGTCAAAACAAAACTTTAGTTCCCCCATAATTTCTGCAAATGAGGAAAATGGTGGCGAGAAGGTGGCTGAGCCGCGTTCTGACCTACCCCTGTCCATGTCTTCAGAGGGATCCCTCTTTCTGGCTCTCTCCTGGCACCATTTCCCACCTTACAGAGAGTCCCAGGGTCTTCCATGGGTCCTCATCGGTCCTCTTTTTTTTTGCCCCAAAACATGTCTACTTCCATTTCGCCCTCAAGAGCCTTCCTCTCTGTCTCTCTCCTGTGCAGAGAAACTGCTCACCCCAGAGTGAAGAAAGAAGCCGCTCTCATCCTCTCTCTCTCTCTCTTCCTGAGCACTAATGAAAACTGGCTCCTTCAGAGCGTTAAAGGGGATTAGCTAAGAGAATTAGAGGACAAGGGAGAAGGAGACTCTTCCGGGCAACACTCCCGGATGCAAGAGGATGTGAAGAAGCCAGGGTGGAGATTGGGGGGGGGGGGGGGACAGAGAGGCAGGGAGAAACAGAGATGGAATCACAGCATCTACGTCTACTGGCAGCAACAGGAACAGTCAAAAGTTTCTTGTTTAAACCAGACTTTTAGAAAGAGTTCTTACGTGCAGTTATGCAGCTAAAGAAGGTGTGTTGAAGCCTGAGCCAGTCCTCTCTCTCTCTCTCTCTCACTCACTCACACACACACACACATCCTACCCCCTACATCTCACACACACACACAAACACACACACATCCTACCCCCTACTTCCACAGCTCCTCATGAGTTCTTGGCTTTGGTGAGTCAAGAGGAAATTGCTTAACTAAGCCCAAGAGGAGAGTGTGTTTTTTTAAAAAAAGAAAACCAAAGGAGATGGGGGTGGGAATCTCTTTCCTGCTCCACGGAGTACTTCTGCTTTGCCCAGATGCGGGGCCGGCCCTGTCCTTAGGCAGAGGCAGCTGCCTCAAGAACACCATTTGGGACATCTTGAAAAGGCAGTTTATTGTCAGCTGTATAATGTGGTCATTTTTACTGCTAGGGTGAGGTGGTGGAGAGATTTTCCACTTCTACCAAAATAACATAGGTGCCTTGGTCTAATATTGACCCTTGACTCTAGTTATGCCCCGCTTCTGCCTTTCCGCCGCTCAGATGATCATTTCGTCTTTAGCCACAAGAGAGCCCTGATGGATCGGACCAAGGTCCCTCGTTCCACTTCCCATAGTAGCTGACCAGATGCCTCTCGGGAAGTCCCCAAGGGGGGGAAGTGGACAGTGTGACAACCGTCCTATGCAAAGATAAGCTACAGAGATAGTCCAGCTCTGAAAGGAGAACTTCCTTCATTATAACATTTATAGAAATTGCAGCGAGTCTTCTTTGCGCCTCCTTTAATTACAGCAGTCCTCAACTCTACTCCTTCTGGTTGTCCTTCCACTCTCTGGCACCTGTTGTAATGAAAGTCCTAATCCTTGCTGTAACGAATTAACAATAATTGCATGTCATCAAGTTGATTCCATCTTATGACAACCCTCACCAGGACTTTCTAGTATAAGGTACTCAGAGGTGGTTTCCCCTTCTTTTCCTCTGAGCCTGCTCCGGGACTGCGTGCAGCTGGCCCAAGGCCACCCAGGCTGGCTCCTCTCCCAGGAGACCCAGTGGGGGAATCAAACTCCCAACCTCCGGCTCCACAACCAGGTGCCCAAGACACTGAGCAACCCAGCCAATAGGCATTCCTGAAGTTGAATCTCCATTTCAGCCGCTGATGAGACTTAGCTTGCCTTCTGCTCTCCCCCCTCCTTCCTCTAAACCCAGAGTGCTAATCCTTCCACGGCCAGGTAATTAGCGAGTGCTAATTAGCGGCTGTTTGTACTGTGCTCAGAGGAAGCAGACAAAGGTTTATTTATTATGACAGTTGATGCCTTTATCCTCCCAGGAACAGTGAGAAAAAGAGAGAAAACTGGAGGGGAGAGGGAGGAAGGAAAGAGAGGGAGGAGGAAAACTCTGAGGCCGCAATATCTGTTTGTGGTGAGCAATGGAAGGGAGCCCATTCGGATCAAGGTGGTCGTGTGACAGGCGGCTGTTCTGCGGGTCCTCGCCCCTGCCTTTGTGTCCTTGAGATGTGGCTCTTCAATTTCTGCACACATGTAACTTTTGCACGGCCAAAAACCATCACATGCAACAGCTGCCGAAGATTTTATATTCGCATGGGTGGAGTCGAATATAACTCCACCCATGCGAATATAAAATCAACAGGCAAGAGCTGCAGATGGTGCTTCTCACATTCTTCCTAGCTGTCATCTCCTCCCAAACTGGCATTTCCACCACCACCACCACCCCGGCATGACTCTGGGTTTCGAAACTAGAAGACAAGCTGCTTTGTTGTCGGAGAAAACGTCTCAGAGGAAGGTACAGCTTGGGGGAAGGAGGGGGAGAGAACCAGCCGGTGTGGAAAGGGTTAAACGTACTTCCCATCCTTCAAATACAGGGTCTCGCCGACACACACATGGACTTATTATTAGGCACCAGATATATATAAGAAATGTGGACTGGGCTAGATAATATAGGCATATTACACAGTTCTGTCCAAAGAGCCAATCCAGCTTGCTGGCCGGCTGGCTCTCACACAGACAGACACCAATTTCCTTAGCCATTTTTAATTCCCGCCCCCCCAAAAAAATTAGAGGGAAGAAATCCACAGCTCCATCACACAGAGAGGTTTTATCTCGGCAACCACTGTATATCTCTCTCACGTTTATAAATTAATTATCTGAGGGGGAGGAGAGAAAAAAAGCCCTTCCTGCAGCTTAGAAACCCAACGCAGCAGCTGCGTGGCCACTTCTACAACCTGCATCGATTCCGAATGACCGCAACCGTCCACTCGCCCCTCCACCCCCCTTCGTCTTCCAGCAACACCTGCCTGCCCGCCCGCCCACCGGGGCACAAAATACAGGATGCGTTATTTACAATGCAATGCTCTCCGGCTCTCTGGCGGTTTAGAAATCAAGCGTGATTGACAGATGCATGCTCCAGGGATGGCAGTTTCAGGCGGGGAGAACGGAGAACGCAGGATTAATGCTGATGGAGAGCGGCATGAGGGGGACAGGAGGAGGGAAGAGGAGAGGGAAGCAATTAAGCAAAAAAAAAAAAGTTTCTAAATTATTAAACGTGAGCTGGTGCCACCGGAGTTGCCCGCAGATAATAAGCGCTTTGTACTGGCAGCACTAACATTTATACCTGAGCTCAACCGGAGTTTATCTTCCCCAGGAAGCATCTGTTATTCCAGAGCTAGAGACAGACGGGAGAGTCACTCTTCTTGGCTATTTGGTTTGGCTTCTAAGTATCTATTCTGCCTGGTCACCTGTGGTGAGTTAAGAATTGCTTCCAGGCGATCAAGAAGGAAAGCCATCACCAAATAAAGAGACCTTCTCTAGCTTAGTATTATCTGTGCTGACTAGCAGCAGGGTTCAAAACTTTCCTGAGCTTGGATTACAATCCCCAGAATCCTCTAATTTGCACGGCCACACAGATCTTCTTTTGTCATTAAACTTTTTTTGGGGGGGGAGGGAATCCTGGAGTCACATTTATAAATTAATAAACAATGAATTTTTTGGGGGGGGGCTTCCAATTCCCAGAATCCTCCCAGCTAGCTTTGCTGGTTAGAGGATTATGGCGGCTGTAGTACAATTAAGATTTCCCACCTCTAGAAGACGCCCTGGATCCCAGCAACATTTTCAGAGAATGCCACTGGAGGGATGCAGGGGTGGAGAAATGGGAGACTCAGCACCCTGAAGCCCCCAAGAACCTCATGTGATCTTACCACTGTGGCTGGGAACGGCCATGCTGTTTGCCAGTTGGAAGATGCGCTGCTGCTGTTGTTGCTGTTGCTGCTGTTGCTGCTGCTGCTGTTCCTCAAAAGTGCCGTGTTCGTTCAGCGCCGACATCATCCGCCTGTAATGCTCCTCTGGGGTCATCTGTGTGACGGCCCCTTCCAGCAGGGGCGTGTGGGAATTTTCTGAAGAGCAAGAAGAGGAAGGCATCAATGACAGGAGGGAGGCACATTGATGCAAGAATAAAAATGATTAAAAAAAAAAAAGAGGAGAAAAGCCAGGCAGGGAATCTCCTATGGATATTTCCAATGTTTTGTTTAAAAAAAAAAGAAAGAAAGAAACATCAAAAGCACCACGAGACACGGACAGCAGGGGTGGACATGCCGTTAGGCTGTGTAGAGCAGCTGCCATAGATGGGAGATGCCAAAGGATCAGTGGTGCCCTCCCTTCTCCTTGAATCCTCTAAGTCTTGGACTCCTAAAATCAAGGTGTGATCACCGGAGGAAAGAGACTGCAATTTGGACAGCTTGTGGAGAGCAAGGTGCGAGATCCACAACGACCCACGGGGAAAGGGGCTTTAGCCTGATCCTCATCTAGGCCCAAATATCATCTTTTTGGTCCACCTTTTTGGGCTTCTATACTTTGGGGGGGGGGCGCTGGGCTACTTCCACGCTACACTGCTTCCCCAACAACCCCACTTTGATGCTCTGGGGTTTTCCTCCCGCACAGAGAAAGATTTTTTGTAAAAAAAAAACTCAGCAGTGTGGTGGTGGTTTGTTTACCGTAAGCAAGGCCACCACCGGCTCTTGGATTTGGCAGGGGCTCCTCCTACAACCCGGCTTTATCTCATATTATCTCATAAGGCCAATTTTTTTTCATTACGCCCAGCAATACCATTAAAACAGCAGGCAGGAGGACGGGGGGGGGCAGATCTGAATAGTGCAAATTGTAATCGAGGACCTGTCTGAGCCCGGGGGCAGTTGGCCTGAGTCTCCCCTGCAGGGGAAACAGCTACTGATCCAGGGAGAGGGCTCAGGGAGAAGGGCATGAAACCTGGGCACCCCTGTGTCCCTCCCCCTGGTGCTGAGCGCTATCAAGTCTTATCCAACTTGCAGTCCCCCTAAGTGGGCTTTTCAAGGGATGAACGTGACTGAAGGAGTGGTTTTTATCAGTGCTCGTTAGGTAGACTTCGTTGGTCTCTGCTCCTCACCATATGCGTTGTTTTAAACAGGAATTTTCTAAACCATGTGCCCAGGTATTGCTCCTTCCCCTCACCTTCTAAAGCTGGACATGCTGAAGTCTTGGAAAACAGGAAAGTCCTGGAGTCTCAGCAGCAGCTTCTAAGGGGCTAATCATCAGCACCCTATGCCATCAAGTCAATTCTGACTCATGGCGATCCTCTTTTCAGGTTTTTGCAGGTAAAGGAATACTCAGAAGTGGTTTCCTCTTTCCTTCTTCTGGGAGGGATCCCTGGGACCGTGCAGCTGGCCCAAGGCCACCCAGGCTGGCTTTTTTCCCCCAGGAGGCCCTATGCGAGAATCAAGCTCCCAGCCTCTGACTCTGCAACCAGAGATCTCAACCACTGAGCTACGGGACCAGGCCAAAGACCTCATCAGCCAGCGCACAGGGCTTCCCCACATCTCCCTCTGAAGAAAATTCCTCAGCTTCCTCATTTTAAAAAACAACTTGTAAATGGCATCTCTGCTAAGAGTCCTATCAACCTGAGAGGTACCTTATACATAAGGGGAAAACATTAAAATAAAACAAAACTATCACCATGGATGAAACCATACAGATTTGGGAGGGGGCTCAATTACACACACACACCACACACCACACACCACACACCACACACACACACACACACACACCAGGTACCACTGTTGATTCAGAATCCGGAAGGGGGTTAATTAGGGAAGGGAAGGGAAGCCCGCTGTGAAGCACACAAATCTCTGCCCATGTGGCAGTCGGCCTCCACCCCAGGGGAGGGAGGGGGGGAGACAAGAAATGTGGAATTTCCCTGCTTGCACATTTCGATTCCTGCCACCGTTGCCGCCACTGCTGCCGCCACCAGAGCCACCCTACCCACCCACTGCCCAGCGGCTTGAACGCCAGGGCCTCCCACGCCCGCCGCCCGCCCGCCTCCCCGGAGAAGAGAGCGGAGGAGCTTTGGATTCCCGACTTCCCTGCAACGCCACTAAGCTGGAAAAGGCCATGGCAGAAGAGGAGACAGAATGATCACAACACGCCTAATTACGGTAAACGCCTCCTGATCTGTGCCAAAGAAGATTTGAGGTGCAGAGAGAGAGGCTTGCGAGGGGAGATTTGCCTTGCTTAAACAACGGGGGGGGGGAATTCCCGGAGGAGCTTTGGATTCCCGACTTCCCTGCAACGCCACTAAGCTGGAAAAGGCCATGGCAGAAGAGGAGACAGAATGATCACAACACGCCTAATTACGGTAAACGCCTCCTGATCTGTGCCAAAGAAGATTTGAGGTGCAGAGAGAGAGGCTTGCGAGGGGAGATTTGCCTTGCTTAAACAACGGGGGGGGGGAATTCCCCACCCACACCTACTCAATCGGCACCGCCAGCAGCTACGCCTGCTTTGTGGCGGGCTTGGCTGTCTGCTTTGGTCTTTAGCCCTGGCGGGGTTAATGGAGGGGAGCGTGATCCCATCAAATCCCCAGCCGCCGCCAGGTGTGACAGGGACTCCGGCGAAGCCGCTCAGAGGGCACAGCCTAGACAACGGCAGCTGCCCCGGCCTTCTGCTCTGCTCGGAGCACAGATGCCACGGAGAAGCGGTTCCCTGGCGGTCCCTTTTTTCCTTGGCCAAGCTGCAACCTCCAGCGGGGACTTTCATCAGCCCTCCACCCCCATGGGGGCGGCAGGTACTGCTTGCTGAGGCCCCACAACCGTCCGACATCCCGCTAAGAACCATCGCTCTTCCACCCGACACCCAGCCCAACCTGGTGAGAAACACAACACGGGGGGGGGGGGGGGAAGGACACGTGGATGCATAAGAATAAGCCAAAACAAACAAACCAAAAAACCAAAACCCACAGGCAGACCATTTACCTTTATTAGTACCAACAGTCAAGTCTAAAAACATGTGCAAGTCTTTTAAGTTAGGCAGAACTCTTGATCAGGCTAGCTCAGATGGAAACAAATCTGGAGAAACCCAAAGCTTGCCCATGTTCCTCACTTTATAGTCGATCCTACCTGTGAATTTTCAGTTCGGTTTCCGAGGGCAAGGGTGGGGGGGACAGAATACAGCTTCAAGCCTAGAAACGGAATCTACCTTCCTGGTTGACTGAGAATACTGAATACTAAACCAACCCCTCTAGGAATTCCCCTAAGGTCGTGTCCTCTTCACTGAGATCCAATTGTTTGCTGTTAGCAGGGTGTGTTTGTGTGCAAAATAATGTAGTACTTTAATGACAGTTCTATTTTGCTCTCGCAAAGGCTGGTTACATGGATCACACGCCCTTCTCTGTTACAGCAGCTCTACTGGCTGCCAGTCTGTTACCAGGCGCAATTTAAAGTGCTGGTTCTAGCCTACAAAGCCCTAAACGGCCTGGGTCCAAGCTATCTCAAAGACCGTATTCTCCCATTATGAGCCGGCTCAGGTGTTTCTCTCCGTCCCGCCACCTTCACAGGTATATCTGGTGGGGACACAGGAGAGGGCCTTCTCTGTGGCTGCTCCCAGACTCTGGAACTCCCTCCCACTGGAAGGCCAGAACATTCTCTTCAGGCAACCACCTCTGAGTATTCCCTCCCTGGAAAACCCCCTGAAAAGGGCCACCAAAAGTCAGAATGGAGTTGATGGCACACGATTATTTATAACGTGGGGCACAAAGGATCCTTAATGCAGGACACATGAAAGTTTTCCTTGGGTAATTATGTTGGTAAATTGCTCGGAAAGTGCTTTAGCACTATGGGGTGGTGTCTAAGTCAAAACAACAACAATAATCTCCCTGCAATGTTATGTTCCTACAGTACATTTTTCCTGCCCTGATCCTTACATTAGCTTGGTTCAACATTCCCCCAGAGAGAGAGAGAGAGAGAGAGAGAGAGAGCACCTCACGAATCTCCTCTACCACCCAGCCCTACGGCAACCTCTAAATAATGCACCCTTCTCCAGGGGACAGGGGAGCTGATCTCCACCTCCACCAGAAGTGATGTCAGAGGGGAGAATTTACTGGGGGAAAAGCAGAGGCAGCAGCAGAAAGAGGGAGCCGAGTCAGAGGGTTCCCGGGAGATGAAGGGGGCAGAATGCTTCCTCCTGACAGGACCTGCCAGCAGGACGGAGCCCTGCTCGGAGCCTGCAGCCTCCGATAGGGTCGTATTTCCATAGGAGACACAGGAGCATTCTGCACAGTTTGACACGAGGCATCCAGGGGGGCAGGTGGGGGGGCAGCTGCTTCCACTGAGATAGGGTTGGCCGTTTGATCTCTGGGAGGGGAGAGAGGAAGGAAAAGAAGGTTCCCGGCACTTCCTGGCTGGCTACAGGTGCCTTCTCTCCTCCTCTTCCTCCCGCTTCCCCTCTAGAGAAAGGAAGGAAGAGAGAAAGGAAACGCTCATTGCCTCTGCTTCCTTTGTCCATAGCCAAAAATAAAGAGAGGAGGGAGACAAAGCCAAAGTGCTCGATCCACACTTCAGATATGTTACAACAGCATCCCTGCCTCTCCCCAGATCCAGCAGTCCACAGAGGCATTTTTTTTCTCAGTCTGTACATTGAGAACGCATAGAAGGGGAGGGGGGACGTGGAGGGACATGGGAAGTGGGGATCCCTCACACACCGGGGGGGGCCAGGAACGGGTTGTGGAAAGTTTCCCAAAGGGAGACGCCATGGTCAAGACGGGGAATTGTAGCCCAGCTGGCCCGCTCAAAAGGCTCAAAGCCACTCCCTTCAACAACCAGTGGGAGAGAAACGCATCCCAAGAAGAGCGCTTCCTCTAGGCAGCGATAGAAAACTGGGTGCACTTTAAGAGTCACGGTCCCCATGAGGATTCATAGTTTGATGAGCTCCCCTTCTGAAAAGCCAGGCTCAGAGCCCAATAAGCCAAAATACTCTGTTGTATCTACCCCTGCTTGGCCTGGGAGAAGAATTCCCTCCATCTATTTATTCCCTTTAAGCAAATAAACGGAAGCCCCCACTCACCCAAATTGTTCTGCCTGATCTCAAGTCTGATGGGATAAGCAGCGGCTTTGTCTTCAAAAGAGGGAAGCCAA